GAGTTCCTGTGCAGCGAGGCCATGGCAGCTCTGGGGATACCCAGCACCCGAGCAGCCTCCCTCGTGACCTCTGACCTCTACGTCAGCAGAGATCCTCTCAACAGTGGCCGGCGCGTTCAGGAACGCTGCTCAGTCGTCCTGCGTCTCGCCCCGTCCTTCATCAGGTTTTCAGACAAACAAAGTGTTTTATAGTGCTGTTTGTAAAAGTATGGATGTTCTGTTAAGACTCTTTTTCCTTATTGTTTTAAGGTTTGGATCTTTTGAGATCTTTCTGGGCAGAGATGAAGTCTCAGGCCTGCAGGGTCCCAGTGCAGGGCGCCATGATATTCGTGCTCAGCTGCTGGATTATGTTGTTGAGACTTTCTATCCTCACATTCAGCAGGCTCACCGCAGCCGGACGGACAGGAATATGGCTTTTTTCAGAGAGGTTAGAAATGCCACACACTCAGCAGCCTGGTCTCCTTTCAGCTTGCTTGGTTTCATGCTGGTGTTTTGTCATTTTGTCTCCAGGTAATGATGAGAACTGCTAAGCTAGTGGCCCAGTGGCAGTGTGTTGGTTTTTGCCATGGCGTCCTTAACACAGACAACATGAGCATCCTGGGTCTCACTCTGGATTATGGGCCCTTTGGTTTCATGGACAGGTAGGCTGCAGAAAGTGGAAGGCGACACTATTTATATTTTCCATTAGATGACTAGATAGTCTGACAAATGGCCTTCAGCTCCACTAAATGATTGTTTTTTCCAGCTCTTCTTAAATAAACAGCTCTGAAAACCAAATAGCAATCTGTTTTGACTTGTAGTAACTTAAAGCTACATTCTATGCCAGTGTGACTTTGATATTAGACATGAAAACTGGACCTCTATGTGTCAGGTTTGATCCAGATTTCGTCTCCAACGCCTCAGACAAAAGGAGGCGCTACTCGTACCAAGCCCAGCCCTCTGTGTGCTGCTGGAACCTGGCTCGTCTGGCCGAGGCGTTGGGCTCTGAGCTGGACGCAGCGGAGGCAGGAGCTATCCTGGATGAGTTTATGCCCACATATAAGGCTTCCTACTTGCACAACATGAGGCTGAAGCTGGGTCTTGTGAGAAAAGAAGAGGCAGAGGACGACGAGCTCATATCAGACCTGCTGCGCGTCATGCACAACACTGGTGAAGAGATGGCTGGAAAGATAATCATGCAACTTTTTCTGCGTCTTCTGCTTCTTGCAGCCTCATTGTGGTACCTTCATATCATGTCGTTGCAGGTGCTGATTTCACCAACACCTTCCGCCTGCTGAGTCGCGTCCCCTGGCCTGAGGAGGGCGACTGTGAGAAGGAAACCGTGGGGCCCGTGGTGGAGCTCATCCTACAGCAGTGTGCCTCTATTGAGGAGCTAAAGGTGGCTAATAAGCCAACAATGGAGAACCGGTGAGGGGGTGTATGGTGGTGGGGTGTGTGTTTATTCAGAGAGCGGCTATGACATGAATGTAAAGTCTGTAGCTGCCCCACCATATACTCCCAGTGAATGGACATCTAATCCTTGCTGTCTATTGTGCAGGTTTCAAATGATTAAATCTTTTTTGTCTGTTCTTTTTTCTATATGCTAGCATTTTGGGAGACAGTCTTACCAAGACAATATGTAAGTCAGCTGTGAGTTTTGTGACAAATGGCTGGATTTATGTGGAAGATAGCAGCAGATGTGCATGGAACAGCATGCAGTGGAAGTGTTGGATATTCTGGCCAGTTTCGAGCATCCCAATCTCCTCTGTTTTTAGTGAATTGGCGATGATTCTGTCCATGGCACAAACCAACCCGGCCATGTTTGGGATGGTGGCAGACAGGCCAGATGTGGCTCAACAGCTGGCGTTAATGGGCCGCCTAAAGGAGCTCCTCGAGACGGATCAAGATGAGCTGAAGAAAAAGCAGCGGGATGACTGGATTCGCTGGATTAGCCAATACAGGTAAGAAAAAAAAAAAGTGAGCACAATAGACACCCTGTTAAAGAACAGAATGTGTAAGGTGGCTGATATTACACATTAAATAACTTTATTCCTGTGTGAGAAGCTGAATCTGACCTTTACAGAAGGATTGTTTTACATACATAATATACAGGAACTAAGTCCATCCTGTACACAGTATAAGAGGAAAGAGCAAACCTACTTCTGTTTGTCTGTTGCAAATTTAAAGCTGCTGCACTAATCACTAACTAACAATAACTGTATGTAATGTGAACTAGACAGAGAATTAACAGTCAGTGCAGTTCCTCTCTGCACCACAGTGCTTTTTAGTATCTGTGCACTACAGGCGGCAACTTTATTGCTTTGGTTCACTGTCACTGATCTTATTACCCCTTTTTTCCAGCCACAGCAGACAGATTAATCCGCTGTACTCTTCCAACACTGCACCAAACAGCAAACACACAAAGTTATCAACAAGCTGGTGAACATAGCAGAGCGGCCAAAGAGCCAAATATACTTGATGGAGACCAAAACACAGTGAATTAAAGTTTAAAAATGAAAAATGTTGACTTTCTGTATCTGTATCTGTTGCATAATCGCAACAGGCTAAAAAAAAAAAAATGTTGTCATTGTCAGGAGCCGTTTGGTCCGGGAGTGTGACGCCACAAGTGACTTGTCCCTCGTCAAAAAGGAAAGACTCAGAGTGATGAACAGCAGCAACCCCCGGGTGGTTCTACGCAACTACATTGCCCAGAATGCAATTAATGCTGCAGAAAAAGGAGACTTCGCTGAGGTCAGAGAACTTCTGTGGTTAAAGTTTGACTGGTTTTGTGTTGAGGCCTCCATGTGAGACAAGAAACTCCATAAAAGTAGCTGCTGATCTACAGTATCACAAGGTCTCCACCCAGAAAACTGGTTAGCAGGTTTTATTACAAATCCTGAATCAAAAACCCTGAAGTAATTATGCTTTCTGCTACACAACCAATCGTAATCCCAGGAAGTGATATGCATGATAACTTTTAAGGTAGGGCTGATTTAGGATCACCTCATTTTGAGCTTTATCTACATGAAAGTTTTAAGCCTAATTTTAAAAGTAGAGAAGGTGTCTGCCTCCTGATACCATCTCTGCCTATTTTACTTTTGGAAACTCTTGGAACAATATTGTATTATTTTTACAGATGCATTTATTAGAAAAATATGGTATTTTTAGTCTTTAAGATAAGATAGAATTTGGTCATTATAGTGTTTTGTAAGATAAAAGAAAGATTTTAACTTATTTTCCTGACTTTAATGGCAGAAAAGAAAGAAAGAAAAGAAAAAGAGAACAGTAAGTGAAGTGCTATAAGTGAGTTCTATTCATATATATTATATTCTCTATATTCTTACTCTGCCACTAGGTGGAGGAAAGCAGCCATCAGTTGTTCAGATGCACAGACATCACTGGACTCTTTCTTTCTCTTTGACCAGCAGATGCTGTCGTTGACTTTAGTGAAAGTGGAAAAGCAATGCTGCTTTCTGTTTTCTATTTTTATGGGATTCAAATCTTGTTTTATGTATGTCAAGTCTTATTTAATGGACTTGTATTTAATGATTATCTTATTTGCGCCTTGTCCCACAGATCGAAAGAGTTCTCAAAGTTCTGGAGAAACCATATTCTGATCCCGAGCCTGACACATGTGGTGAAAAGGACCATAAAGGGACGGAGCTCACCGCCACCTACGATGGGAGGCCTCCTGCCTGGGCACAAACAATTTGTGTCACCTGATCCTCGTAGAGCCTCCCTGGAAGCTGAAGGAGAGAGGTCTGTTTTGATTGGTGGACCACATGGGCCATAGTTATCAGAGCAATCTATGGTGTAGGTGGGAAGAGAATTACTGTTTTGGTACCAGCCACAGACTGCATAGAAAAGATGGACATATGACATGACATCACCGTTTTGAAGCCACAGGTTCAGCATTTGGCTGTCTTGGTTTTTTGAAAATGAACATGAATCTAACTTAGAGCTCGATGACATCGTTCATGCTAAGACAGTAGCAAACTCTCACAAAGTAGTCTTGCTCTTTATCATCTATTTGTCCTTTCAGTGGGACCACAACTTACAAAACCAACATCAAGCTGTATTGAAAAAGCCTTCCATGTACCAATTGACCCCATAAACTCATTTGGAAAATATTTACTGAGGTTACAAATCAGTTAAGAAGTAGGGCCATTTGCTCATAGACTTCTATACATTCAGACTTCTTTTTGCAGCCACAAGAGTAGCCCCCTGCTGGTTGTTGGACAGAATGCATATTTAAGGCACTGACACATTGGCCAGACTTTGCAGCCCAGAGGCTTCGTCCATCTTTTATATACCGTCTATAACAGCAGTAACTCAGTCATTCTCCATTTCCACCTCAGACTTTCTCTCCTACTTCCTAAAGGGAGGATGATATACAACCCAGTGTGTTCCAGTGTTCATTGGTACAGGATTAGTTTCATGTCTGTGTGAATCTAAGTTCCAAAAAAAATCTGCAAAGATAAATAATTTAATTATTCGCTGGTATTTTTCCTAAAACTGAAGTTGATGGAATGAGTAGAACATGGAACTTTAACTTACCGTAATGCATAAACCAACACAACGGTCACACCTACGAGAAGTCAGCTGCTGATGAAGTATGACGGCTCAGATGGCCAGTCACACAATGACCTGTCTGGGCCTGAAACACCGGAAACACATGAATGTCAGTGCTTGTAAATTCAAATAAAATTGAAACTAGTGAACACAAGCATAACTGCTGAACATGATGTGATTCATGGCATGTTTGTGACAGTTTTCTTTAGTGTTTTCAATAAAAGATAAGGTGTTGTTTGTCATAAAGTTGGGTGAATAACACTGTTTGTAGGTTTATTTCATATATTTAATCTCCACTGAAAGGTTAAAAAACATTCTTTAAAAAGATATTTCCTCTTTTGGTGTTTGGCTGATGGATGTTAAACAGTGAGCTGCAAGGTGGAACAGGTGGTTAGCACCATCGCCTCACAGCTAGAAGGTCGCAGGTTCACATCCCAGTGAGGACACCCGGAATTTTTCTGCATGGAGTTTGCATGTTCTCCCCGTGCAGTGTGGGTTCTCTCCGGGTTCTCCGGCTTCCTCCCACACAGTCCAAAACCATGCTGAGGTTTATTGGTGATTCTAAATTTTCTGTAGGTGTGAATGTGAGTGTGCTTGGTTGTCTGTCTCTAAGTGTGGCCCTGTGATAGACTGGTTACCTGTCCAGGTGAACCTGTCTTCACCCTGAGTCAGCTGGGATAGACTCCAGCCCCCCATGACCCTAGTGAGGATTATAGTTAATAGATGGATGGATGTTAAACAGTGCTCACTGTCTAACATAATAATGCTGATATTCATATTTTATTTGTATAGCATTTATCAAAGCAAAGCTATAAACTACTTCACCTAACAAACTAAGAAAGTAAAAGGGAAATTAACACCAAACAAGCTAAATTAAAATTAGAAATGGCAAAACCCAAAGCATTCAAAGATGACATAAAATGACATATAAACACAACTAAATATATACAAATACTAGACAAGCCACAAGCCAGAAAATGTGAAATAACAAAACCCTTAAACAGACTAACAACTAGAAGCAGAAAAACATGTTTTCAGCTTAGAGTTAAAAGAAGCCCCTGACTCAACCTGCTTTATTTCCTCAGGCAGGATATTCCAGAGCCTATGGGGCTGTTGTTTCAAAAGCTCTGCCTCCTTTAGTCTTTCATAAAAAAATCTGGAACAGACAGAAAGACCCTGTCTGGGGATTTCAGAGTGTGAACTGGAAAATAAAAACATCAGCGAACTGGGGAGAGCTTAGAGATCAATTCTAAAAGGTACTGAAAGCCAATAGCTGAACTAGAGTAATGTGTTCAAATCTAGTTAAAAGCCTGGCAGCAGAGCTCTGTACTGACTGCTGCCTGTCAACAGTTTCATTATTTAATCAGGCACAAAGGCTGCTACAGTGACCCAAGTATAAATACATAAATACAAGTTCATGGCATATGATTTACGTAACTTTCATACTCATTAATACCTCAGCATTAACTATGTTTTTCACTCATCTATTCAGATTTACCCTTTAATTGTCATCCATTTCTGTAAGGTTTTATACAACTTATGGATGCAAAGTTTGCACTGGAGAACATTATTATGCTAATCAATTTCCTGGTACAGAAAAGCTCATATAACAACAAAGAGCTGGTTTAACCCTCTGCGTGTACCATTCATGTTGCTGCAATCAGAGCTTTAACCTGCATTTCTTGTTGTGTTCTTGTTTCAAATGCCATGCACTCATATCACAAGTGAAACCACTTCAAAGACCTTTTCAGGAAGCATACATGCACACTGGAATTAACAGAATAGAACCAGAATAGAAATACTTTCTTAATCCCCAAGGGGAAATTAGGTTGTTACAGCACAAAGATAAAGTTACCAGCACCATAAATACAGATAAATAAGCAAAATAAACAATGAGAAATATAAAATGCAAAATGTAAAATAAGTGTAACATGTCAAGTAGAAGCAGAAAAGTCCTGTGTGGAGTGTAGGGCAAATAGCAATGTGCAACAAAACAAGAGTACAACAGAAGAGTGCAAAGGGCAGTTTCATTGACAGAACCAGATGCTACAAGGCTGAGAGCTCTCTGCCAGCCAGGACTGATGAGTTGAACAGGGTTGAACATGAGCGAATGAACTTTGTACAGCTATGTGTGTAAGTATATGACTTATACTGCAATCACTGTGTAAATCATCGTAAAGAACAGCCTGGTGGGTATTACTGGTACAAAATGCCACTTCAGAGGTTGTTTTCTTTGCATTGAGGTCAGCAGACTGCACCCTTGTAAAGAGAGACAACCTCCTGCCTGAGATCTGTATTTGCCTGTCAAAAGAAGAAAACAAGCATTCCTGTGGAGGTCATACTCATTCAACTCAATGATGGAAAAATCTGCAGTTTTTCTCTTTGTGTGAACATCAAAACAGGAACCTCTCTGTGAATATGAGACAGAATAAACCTGATTACATTATATGATACTCCTCAACATCTCTTTTTTAAAACCTCAGTCTTTGGGGAAGTTTTACTTCACTATTTTGACTTTCATACCATAAGCAGACCTTATGTCCATTTCGTACCACCTTCACTGGACTGGCTGAACTTGTTTTACCACCTATACTATAAAAACAAACACACTCTTGCGGAGAGCTGATAAGAGGGACAGGAACAATGAATTTACTGTAAACTAGAGTTGTTTAGTCTGGACACTGACTCCAGTTTCTATCTGATAACATGGCTATAAAGCTCAGTTAGCTCAGGAGGAACAGGCGAGATGACGACAGCTACGCCAGCCTACACAAGCTCAAAACCGAAAGCGTTGCTGCATTTGAACCTTGCATCAGTTAGAGGATGGACACGCAAGAACAAGACAGGTTGATCAAATGAAATGGCGTCGGTTAGAGAGTTGCTCTTTGCTACTTTGGAAGAGCTGCTTGCTGACCAGCTCAAGACTTTCCAGTGGTTCCTGGCCAGTAATGTCCTTGAAGGATTCGATCATATTCCAAGAGCCCGGATAGAAGACGTCGACAGGACGAGTACTGTGGATCTTTTAGTGAATACGTATGGCTATGATGGTGCTGTTACTGTTACTGTGGATGTACTGCGGAGGATGAAACTCAAACTGTGGGCTGAAACACTACAGGAGAAGTATGCTAAAGGTAAAATAAATTTTAAAAATGTAAAACTTAACTGTTTAGTTAGTTAGTTGGTCAGGAAAATAGCTTGGTTACATAACAGCTATCTCTTCTCTCTATTTCCTTATCAGTTCCCAGAAACCAAGAAGGCAAAGGTAAGATTAAAAAAAATGGTTAGCAGATTCAAACTCATATATCTATGTGTAAACTTAATATTTAAGTGACAAATTTTTAATGGTTCTTTCACTAGAAAGCGACCACCACCAAATCCAAGAAAAACTGAAATCCACTTTGAAGGAAAAGTGCCAAAACATTTATCAGGGCAACGCGGATGAAGGGGAAACAGTGTACCTGAACAAAATCTACACAGAGCTGCACGTGATCGAAGGAGCCTATGGAGGCTTCACCGAGGAGCATGAGGTCAGACAACAGAGGTCTACCTACGTGACAACAGAAGGAACCACCATTAAAGCTAGCAACATTTTCAAACCCAACCAAGAGAAGCGAATCAGAACCGTGCTTACCCAGGGCATACCTGGGGTGGGTAAAACTGTCTGTACGCAGAAGTTTACCCTGAGCTGGGCAGAAGGAGAAGAAAATCAGGACATCACCTTCCTTTTTCTACTTCCTTTCCGGGAGCTAAATCCCAACATAGGTGAGAAGGATTTCAGTCTGATGCAGCTGCTCCATCAGTTCTTCCCTGTGATTAAATCTCTTGAGAAGCTGGGAACAGACTGCAAAGTCCTCTTCATCTTTGACGGCCTTGACGAGACACTTCTCCCCTTGAATTTCAAACACAACAAGGTCTTGAGAGATGAGACCCAGCCCGCCTCGCTTGATGTGCTGATCACAAACCTCATCACAGGAGATCTGCTCGGCAATGCGCTAATCTGGATCACCTCCAGGCCTGCAGCAGCCGGCCTAATCCCTCGGAAGCACATCCACCAGTGGACAGAGGTAAAGGGCTTCGCTTATGACCAGAGGGAGGAATACTTTAAGAGACACTTGCACGATGATAAACTTTCCAGCAACATCATCAACCATGTTAGGTCGTCAAGGAGCCTCTACATCATGTGTCAAATACCAGTTTTCTGCTGGATCACTGCCACCGTAATGAAGAAGATGCTGCGTGACAACGTGACCGGAGGTATGCCCAACTCTCTGACCGAGATGTACGTTTACCTCCTCCTCTGCCAGACAGACCGGATGACTGAAGGTCATTACCCGATGAAAAGCAACAACGTTGTTTTGAAGCTAGCGGAGCTGGCGTTCCGTCAACTGGAGAAAAAAAAACTGGTCTTCTATGAGGCTGACTTGAAAGAGTGTGGCATAAATGTCGAAGAAGCCACCATCTACTCAGGAGTTTGCACTGAAGTCTTCACTATGGAAGGAAATAGGAAACGAGAAGTTTTTAGCTTTGTACATTTGACCATCCAGGAGTTTCTGGCAGCTGTGTATGTCCGTTACTCATACATGCAACGAAAAGAAAATGTTCTTCTTGGATACCTGAAAAGAATGTCAACAAAATTGCTGCCCAAGTCTGTATTCAGTTTTCACAAGATTGCCATTGAAAAAGCCTTGGAGAGTCCGGACGGCCACTGGGACCTCTTCCTTCGCTTCCTACTGGGACTTTCACTGAAGTCCAACCAGGAGCTGCTAAGTAGAGTATTGCATTTGGATGGAGACGGAGAGGAAGATGTGGCAAAAACCATCCAGTTTATCAAGGAGAAGATCAATGAAGAGCCAGAAGCTAAGCTCAACTTGTTCCACTGTCTGAGCGAGCTCAAAGAGGAATCTCTAGTGCAGGAGATCCAGAGATTCATGGGCTCTGGGAGGCTCACAGCTAAAAAGCTGTCTCCAGTCCAGTGGTCTGCTCTCACTTTTGAGCTGATGACTTCAGATGCAACCGAGGAGGAGTTTGACCTGAAGAAATACATAAGATCAGAAGAGGGGATTGTGAAGTTGCTGACTGTCATTACTTCCTCCACACGTGCTCTGTAAGTTAACCCACATAGTGATGTCCTTCCTTGTTAGTTTCAGTTGATCTGTGTGATAATGCAGATGTTTTTGGGCCTTGTCCTGAGTGCTTTCTTATCCCATAATGAATGAAACAATGAACAAACAGAAATGTGTTGCTCATGTATTGTTTTTCTAGGCTAGATCGCTGCAACCTCACTGTGAACTGCTGTGACGCTTTGGCTTCTGCACTGAGTTCAATATCCACACATTTAAGAGCTCTAGACCTGAGTGACAACAATCTGACGGATTCGGGGGTGAAGCTACTTTCTGTTGGCTTAAGGAGCCCACACTGCAAACTGAAGAGCTTAAGGTCTTGTTAGAATTTTTTTTACAAGCCAAATATTGCCCAATATATTGCACAACATATCCCTGCAAACAGCAACAACTTCTTGTGGTTGTAAGACTTGCAGTCTGGGTTTACTATTCTTTGCTCTTATAAATGCTACCTAATTATATGCAGTCAACTTATAGTGCAAGTGGATCTGCATTCTGCTAGTTTGCAATAGTAAAAGAGCTTTTTATTTTCTTTATTTTAGATTACATAAGTGTAAACTGAAAGGAGACTGCTGTGAAGCGCTGGCTGGTGCTGTCAGCACAGAATCCACCTGCCTCAGAAACCTGGATCTGAGTGCCAATGACTTCCATGAAGCAGGACTGAAGGCTCTTTGTGTGGGACTGTGCAGTCAACACTGCAAACTGGAAACACTGAGGTTACACTTGCTTCTTGCTGACAAACTTTAATTATTTGCTTGGACTGGAACTTATTCCAAATGAATGCTCTAAGAACAAACAAACATTTTTTGTGAATCTTCTTTTGCAGGTTGAACCAGTGCAGCCTGAGAGAGAACTGCTGTGCAGATCTAGCTTCAGTTTTAAAGTCAGGCTCATCTCACCTAAAAACTCTTGACCTGAGTAGCAACAACTTGAAGGATTTTGGTGTGTCTGAGCTTGCTGATGGACTAAAGAGTCCCCACTGTGCACTGGAAACACTCAGGTCAGTGCATCCTCTGTAAAACTGACTGTCCCTCTGTTATAGCTATGGAAGTCCAGTTAGTGTGGCTCATGGCCAAACACATTGCTGCAAGTCAAGGGTTTTGTGATTTATTCTGCATTAAAATGTGTTTGTTTAAAGCTGTGATAATCATTGTTTGACCACTAGGGGACAGAAGAATTCTTAAACAAGCTGATAGACACACAGTTTAACCCATTATCACCTCATAAAGTTGCTGTTAAGCAAGAGCGATCTTATACATCCAACTGTATTGTCCCATGAGAGTCACATTTTTGGCCATCCAATAAAATATAATATAGCTAGTTCTTTAGTTTGCAACTCAGTTATTGGAGCTGATGTAATACTAATGCAAAAATCACTAACTAATGCAGTTTTAGAGGTGTGCTAATTTTTATTTTTCTATCTTATTTATGAGTCCGTCATTCAATTATAAAAAGTCACTCTGAGTTCCCCTTAGGATCTCCGAGCTCATTGCATTAGTTTTATGGCCTGCATCTGTACTGTTTGGCCTCACTCCACTCCAACTGCTCCCATCAGTCTGTTTTCTTGATTCAACTGAGCTGCAAGGCACCAAATTATAGCTAGACAAAGTTATCAACTAGCTGATCAACATATAATTTATCAGCCCTAGAGACAGGTGTTTGGTCCGGAGTTAGTAATAAAAACAGTGTTAAGAAGAGATGTATTAGTAGATTTGCAACAATCGTGCAGAGAACGTTATCACAGAAAACAGTTAATGCAGTTTTAATGAGCTAAATGAAGAACAAATGAATAATTGAAAAGATAATCACATCCTCATTACTGCCATTACCACGAAGCAATACATGATACTTGTCTTTTAGTCTGATCTTATCATGTGTCTATTGTCACTATTCAAATGCAGTGGGCTGTAACTTCATTTGTAATTTTCCATCACCTGTCAGACTCAGCCAATGTGACCTGACTCAGAAAAGCTGTGATCCCATTGGCTCTGCTCTCAGCTCAGAGTCTGCCCACCTCAAAGAGCTGGACCTGAGTGGAAACAACCTGCACGGCATAAAGTCGCTGTGCTCTGGACTCACAAGTCAGCACTGTAAGCTGGAGACATTAAGGTGAGGACACTGAGGTTCAGTGGACACCAAGATTACTGTAATGATGCAGTTGTACAGGCAGCTGTGAAGTAATACTTCATAGTAATATATATTTTTTCTTTAAAATAAACAACAGCACAGTTCAGCCTATAATTTTAAACTTTGTGGGGTACCACCAGTTATAACCCGCATTAAAACAAAACACATTCTCACTTGCAGATTAAATGAGTGCAATCTCCAGGAATGCTGTGCTGATTTGGCCTCAGTCCTCAGCTCGGACAGCTCTCACCTGAAGGAGCTGGATCTGAGTGGGAACGACCTGCAGGACGCAGAGGTGAAGCTGCTCTGTGTTGGCCTGGCGAGTCCAGACTGTACGCTGGAGACATTAGGGTAAACTGGCTTTACATTAAGTTATACAATCTTCACTCCCTTAATAGTACCTATACAGTGCGTTTAGCGAATGTTACCCTGAAGAATGCTAATAGTAATAGTGTGAACATAAGAATCAATTGCAGGAGAAAGCATGAAAACACCTCAAAACTTCCAGGTGAAAGGTAGAAAAGATAACTAAGAGTTGTAGATAATGATATTATCATATCTGCATGTGCCAAAAATAGTGAATAACCTGTTTTTGGATGACACTAACACACCCTGCCTGTATACAGGCTGTCATTCTGTGGAATCACAGAGGAGAGCTGCCCTCATCTGTCCTCTGCTCTGAACTCCAACCCATTCCATCTGAGGCAGCTGGACCTCAGCTACAACTACCTGCACGACTTTGGAGCGAAGCTCTCTGTTCATCAGAATGATCCTCTCTGCAAACTGAAAAAACTCTGGTATGCATTAACTTTGTAAACGTCATTCCTTCTGAGGTTTAAATTTATACAACATTTGTTCTCTAATATCAAGAGCAAAGAAAATAGAGTCAAGAAAATTCCTGTAAATAAACAAAGTGAATAACATTTTACACCATGGCTTGTTAGGTTGGGTATTTCTTCAAATATGCAACATGTCTTGTGATTTAAAGTTTCATTTACTGATCAAGTTCCCCTTATTGGGCTGTTTGGTTCTATTCAGTTATGTAGCTGAACAGAAAAAATGTGCTGCAAGCATCATGAGCTGACATAAGTAAGCTGTAAAGCATCCAAGGATGAATTTATGTGTATCAAACATGGATAAAAAAAAATGAGTGTAACACTTGATTTTAGTGTATCTATTAATGATTAATGTTTTACATCTCTCTCTATCTACAGTGTGGACCATAATGCAGAATGTTACCTGAAATCAAAGCTGAAAAACTGTAAGTTGCATTTTCTGCAAAGTATGTGTTTTAATTTGGTTTACAACTAAACAGCAAAAATTAAACTGCTCTATAGCCTGTTGTGTTATTTGTCCAACAGATGGCAGGATTGGATATAACCTGACTATGGACTGTATGGCTTTAATCTCAACTATTTTTCTTTCTTCTCACCAAAAGCTCTGGCACCACTGTGTGGTGATTTGTGAGAGTGTAATTTATTGTAAATATGTAGAATGCTGAATGTACACTCCTCCAAAACACTGATAGAAGTCTAAAGCCGAAACCTGCAGGGCGTCAAACATTTAGAGGGTTTTTGTTTTTCTCTGTTTTGAGAAACCAGCTGAATCGTCTCTGCCTTTAAGAGGCACAATGACACCTAAAATTAATATCCAGTGATGAATAACAACTAAATGTACATTATTATTGGTGTTCATACTTACAGCTGTTTACAATTGTTTCTTTAACTTGACTTCACTGAAAGGCCTCATAGGCAGCCTAATGTCTACTTTTACTGCTTGCAGTGGTGACAGAAATCAAAGGAAAATGTAAACAAATGAACATATGCAATATGACAAAGACTATCTGACCCGTCTTAAAGTTTAATTATATTTTGTTCCTGAAATGCTCCCTGAATCCAGCCTTCTGTTGGGATCAGGATAATCCTGATTTCAGTCCTAATCTAACCAAAAGCTTTTGAAAAACATGTGGAGACTGTTTTGTCCAGATCTAAATCAAGACTGGATAATGTGATCGAGTATGAACTCAGAATTCAGAATAACTTTCGAAACAAATTCTAAATTAATAATTGGTTGTAAATTGTCGTTTAATCGTGCTTTATTGTTGCTCTATGTCCGTTACTGTCATCATCTGGCTTGGTGTCTATCAAAAAAGACTTCTAACCTCCAGGGACTTCAGAGTTGAATTAAGATTAAATAAAAACACCTTCAGCATCAATGCACACTGGCATTTGAAAGACTTTTGGGAACTTTATGTTTGCTACCTTTACGGCCCTGGACTTCATTGTGATTGGACATAAACAACAGTTAATAAAAAAGAATTCTAAAAGACTCGTATTTGTGTGTTGCACAGATGCATGCTCACTGACGCTGGACCCCAACACAGCTGCCAGGTCTCTCTTCCTGTACGACGGGGGAACCCAGGTGACGTGGACCAGGGAGCAGCAGCAGTACCCGGATCACCCCGAGAGGTTCGAGAGCGTCTCCCAGGTGCTCTGTCACCAAGGCCTCACCCAGCGCCACTACTGGGAGGTGGAGTGGCGAGGACACTGGGTGGACGTTGCTGTGGCGATGAGGAGAATCAGTCGCAGGGCGGGCTCTCACCTCTGCGGGTTTGGCTACACCAGCCAGTCCTGGAGTCTGTACTGCTCCGAGGATCACTACAGCGCTCAGCACGACCACGAGCCCCTGGAAATACCAGCACCGCCGTCACGCTCCCACAGGGTCGGAGTGTATCTGGATTGGCCGGCTGGCACCCTGTCGTTCTATAGCGTGTCCTCTGGGACCCTGAAACACCTTCACACGTTCTACAGCAACTTCACGGAGCCCCTCTACCCCGGGTTTGGGATGGAGAAGGACGACTGCTCCGTGACTATCTGTACAGTGGTGGACACGCAAGGAGTCGATTCTCAGTCTGTTAGTGCAGAAAGAACCTAAGTGATGGAGGAAATGGTGTCTTTCTGCTCAAAGAGAGTGAAAATAACGCTGATAAATGCTATGTAGTGATGTAGTACACATGAAATACTCTCTAAAATACAACCCAGAAGATAATACTGTACATATTTACCAGCATATAGTACCAGTCAAACATTTGGAGGCACTTACTCATTCAAGGATTTTAACTATTTTTTACGCTGTTTAACAAAACTGGAGACATCAAACTAACCGTTATGGGATTATGTAGAGAAAATGAAAGTGTAAACAAAGAAGCACGTGTTACAGGTTTTAGGTTCTTCACGGTAGAATCCTTTTGCTTTGAAAACAGGTTTGTTCATCCTCTCAGCCAGTTTCATGAGGTCATCACCTGGAGCTGCTGAGTACTTCTTGGCTGCCTTTCCTTCACTCTGCACTGCAACTTATCCAAAGTCATCTTAGCTGGGTTTAGTCCAGGTGCTTGTGGAGGTCAGGTTTTTGTTGTTCCCGATGAAAAATGGTCAAAACACAGAAACTGTGACCAAAAGTCGTACATTCACAACTCCAAAATCTAGATTTGTCCATCTTTTGAATTTCTTTGCCCAAGCAGTTCTGTTATTCCTCTTGGTCTCCATGGAAGGGGTTTCTTTGCAGCAGTTCCGACATGAAGACCTGATGCCTACAGTCTCTTTGCAACACTTGGTGCTCAGATGTGTCTGCTGCTTGAACTCTGGGAAGCAGTGCTGTGGGCTCCAATCGGAGGTGCTGTTGACCAGTGATTTCTAAGGCTGGTAACTACAATGAGCTTCTCCTCTGCAGTAGAAGAAACTCTTCTTTTCCTGGGATGCTCTTGAAATGAAAGTCAGTTTCAGCTTTGTTGAATTTCTCAGCACAGACGAACCTTCACGTCACGAGGTAATGACGGGCTGCTGCTGTTTTTCTGAGCTGAGCTGTTCTTACCAGAATAAGGGTTACTATAGAAGCTGAATAAGGCTCTTTGCAGTGTGGTAAGTCTACCTCAGCACAACATAATTGATGGTCTCAAAAACACACATCAATTTAAAACCACCATAGGTGATGCCCTTATGACCTCAGTTAAGATATTGCCATCAGTGCGAAAAGCTGTCATTAGGGCAAATATGAAACATACTCTGTGTTGTGTTATTTCTTGTTTAGCACATAACTCCACATGTGGTATCTAGTAGTCTTGATGTCTTCAGTATTGATCTATATCATAGGAAATGGTAATAGAAAAGGACAACCTTAAAGTATAATATAGTAAAGCCATGTAAATAAAGAGAATCGCTTGTTTCAATATAAATGTTTCTGTTAAACTGCCTGCGGTAAAGTTTTATTTCTAATGAAACCTTAGCCAACCCTATTATAAATGCGTCACGTTAGCATATGCTGACTTTATGTTCCAATCAAATGTTGTCAGTGAGCACAAAGATCATCCAACTAGTGGCAATTACATATTATCTCAGAAAAACAAAGGTCTTATGCTGCATGTTCCACAGCAACATTTTAGCTCCAGTGCTAATGCTGGTAAAGTGCTACAGCTCCAGTGCTAATGGTAGACATGGGGTTACCAAAGTCATTAGTGTAAACCATCTATGAAGCATGAATATCTGTCAAACCACCAAGCAAACCAAGAAGATCTATTGGATGAGTAAAAGATTTGTCTGCTGGGGGGATTACATGCACATTTAGAGAATCATCAAAGTTATTAGCAGTATTAGTCAATTACGTCACTACCAGCATGGGTGTAGACTTGAACCTTGGGAGGGAACATGTTCATCAGGTTTCTGTTCAGTTTGATCTCTATGAAAACACTGTAACAAAGAATATGTAGAATATTCTTTAAAGAACAGTTCATATGCATGAACTAACATACAGTGTACAATTTCCAATATAAAAAACAGCTGCAAGTTGTTGAGAACTCAAATAACAGCTCTGACTGGTTTTATAATCATCAAGCTAATGGTAGCTTTATGAGTTAGATGAAAATGCAACCTTCTGTTATTTCTGACACCTTTAAAAAATAAAAAACAATAAACAAAAAACACAAGCCCAGTAAAAAGGTCTTAAATGTGCACTTGATAGGTACATTCTTAATACCTTGATAAAAGAGGAGGCCTAAAGCTGCTGGTAAAATTGAGCAAACCACACGTTGTTGGAGCAAACCATTAACAACTGTCCAAGTGCGCTTAATAATATTACAAGCTCCACTGCAAAATATTTGAAGATAGTTTAGACTGATGTGATTTGTGGATATCTGTATCTGAACGATAATGTCAGTAATGAGCCCCAGACCAACCCAGTCTCACGACAATTTGTTAAATAGTCACGAAATGTAATCTATTGTTTCGTGTCCTGGGACACGATTTGCCGACTTTTTCATGTTCCCCAGTATGAATGTCAAACCAATACATTTCAACTGGAATTATCTTTCATGTCTTTTTCCCCATCAGACAGCACATGTACTGTTTTGTTTTTGTCTTTCTTTTCTTCCGATAGTCAGGCATGAACCAGTTTTCCTGTTATGGCCCGTTCACACTAATAACTACAGAGATCTCTATACAGATATGTGGCTCACACTGACCAACGTTAACATTCTGTAAACACCGGTGCTGAGCCGGTACCGTGTGCTCCAGCTGCTATAAGCTCCGTATTCATGAATAGAGAATACAAGAAATATACCCAGGCAGAGACAAACTGTTCTGAGATCGCTCTGAAAGTGATCCCAACGATATCGTTCATAGATATAAATATACAGTAGAAGTGCTTTTACTGTATTTGGGCTACATGCTTGTCGTTACTTTCATTTCTCTGTAAACGAATACAACTCTGAAAAGAAGGACACATGCAGGAAAACGGCCACCGGAACATGTACTGTGATCACAGCGATGATAATCTGACTGTTGTAACTGAGAGGCCAGCGGTGGAGAATGTATCTGGAGCTTTGTGCAGCTTTTAGCTCGCTTGGCAAGGCTGTCTACGTTAGCTACTAGCCTAGCCTAGCCTAGCCTAGCCTAGCTGCTGCTGCGGCTTCTGCTGCTGCTTCTTCTTCTATTGATTTGGCGGTTGGCATCCAACGTTCAGGTGCTTTACCGCCACCTCCTGTACACACAAAAACATTACCGATCCTATAAGACAGATCTCTTCCGGGTCTATGCGAGGCTGCGCGCCCTAACAGGGTTGCCTTAGCAACGAGTGCAAATTTCCCCCAAACACTGCCGGTGTAATAAAAACACATAAAATACCACAATACGATGTACTCTTTTATACTTATTTCATACTACACGTATTACAGTAGCACAGTTGTCAGGACTTCAATCTGTTTATTTTAGTTTATTAACACAAAAACACAACCCCAGTTGTAAACCCCAAGAAGAACTACATATTTCATGGTGTGTCCAATCACGTTGTATGGTAACGCTATTGGAAGTTGTAGTTCTTTCTTCAAAATAGGCGTTTCTCCTAAACTGAGGGTGAAATATAAAACTTTAGGTGCATTTAGGGGTTTAAATTGATGAGGAATGTCATTTGCAAA